TCTTACGCGCGCGGGGAGAAAAACTCTCTGACATCTCCCCGACTTCTCGCGGAGAGAAAAAAAGAGACAGAGGCTTTGAGTGTTCTCTTTTTTTTTTATATATATATATATATATATATATATATATATATATATATATATATATATATATATATATATATATATATATATATATATATATAATATTGATGCCATTGTAGTTTATCAGCATCTTGAAATCTAGTAAGATGAAGCATGTTGATGTGTTGATGGTACCCCTATCTATTTGAAGGATACTTTATAATGTTGTTCATCACATCTAAACAGCAAAAGATTTTCTTGTATGAGACAACATATGGACTGCTGTTATAACAGGCGTATAACGGAAACAATAGTGGAGATTGGAACAGAGTGAAGAGAAAAGTAAATAAATGAAGAGAAAAGAGAGTTATACTGATCGAGGGGTGGTTACAGAAAGAATTTTCATGTAAGTCTACACTCTACAGTCAAGATTATCATACATACTTCCAATGAAATCCTCCTTTGGAGTTGAATTTGGACTACAGGTGATTGACTAATTAAGAATAAGTGGTTATGCATTATGTATGTGGAGCCCGAACGATTAACCAACTGTTTGAAATAACATCCTTTTTGTCTTTGATCTGAACATAATTAAGTTTATGACTTGTTAAGACATAAATATTACTAGACTGGACTCAGGTACATGCAAATGCTTTTATGCCAATAGACCCATGATTAGGCTTGATCTAACGACTCACACTTATCAAAGGGGTTTACTGCTTGTCCAAACAAATTTGGACTGATCCACTATTCTGGTGTTTTGGTGGTCTGCACCCTAAAGTTGTTTTAGAAGCTCATCTCACAAGCTCCTGGTTCGTGTTTTGTTCTTTTGTATAGTATTATCTACATGCATATGTATGACAAACATAGATTAGAAAATCTTTCTGCAAAAGAATCTACTGAGGAAGCCTGTCTACATACTAGGAAATGATAGAGGAGAGACAGACCCAAGGATCTTTTTCATATAAAATATTGTAGTGTTAATTGTTAGGATCAAGAGCACTAAGAGGGGGGGGGGTGAATTAGTGCAGCGGAAAACTTTCGACGATTAAAACTGCGTTCGTACGTTGAAATCCGATTTTAATGTAAAAGTCGTTTCGTGCAGATAATAACTTTGAAAGCTTACGGAAACGTATTTGAAGTAAAGTAAGGAAGGCAGTTTGCAGTTAAGATAGAAATCAGAATGTAAGCGCAAACTGAAATATGATGTTCGTACGATAAAACCGATTTCCGTCTTAATGCGGATTCGGAAAATACTTAACTAAGAAACACGTTCGTAAATGAGCAGAAGACAGTAAGCTACTGAGGAGGTTTGCAGTAAAGATAAGATGCTCAAAGTAAATGCAAACCGAGATTTAGAGTGGTTCGGTCAGTCTTGACCTACATCCACTTTTGGCTTTCTCCACCAACGAGGTCTTCGACGTCTACTAGAGGCCTTCATTCAATAGGCGAAGGCCAACCACCCTTTTACAGTTTCACTCCTTTTAACGGGCTTAGGAGACAACCCTTACAAACTTTTCTCTCCTCTCTTGAAAGATCAAAACTTGGAAAAAAAGAGGGAGGAGAACTTCTAGACTTTACAACACTTTTGAGCTCTAAAATCACAGAGTAAGATCAAGCTTTCGGTGCCCTTTTATGCAGGAAAGGGTGGGGTATATATAGGCCCCAAACTAGTTTGAATTTGGAGCTCAAAAATGTCTTTTCCTGGATTTCCGGGGTCTTGGCGGTACTACCTCCTAACTGGGTCGATACAACCACCTGGCAGCTCGGAGACTGAGCCTCTGGGCGGTACCACCGCCTGACAGGGGCAGTTGCACCGCCTGGTAGAGCTCGGAGATCGAGCTCAAGCGGTTCTACCGACTGTTAGGGGCGATTGCACCGCCCAATCTCGCTCGGAGATTGAGCCCAAGCGGTGCCACCGCCTGACTGGGGCGGTTGCACCGCCCAGTCTCGCTCGGAGACTGCCTCCTGGGCGGTGCCACCATCGACCCTGGCGGTGCCACCGCTTGGTAGGAATTTTGGTCCGAATGGGTTGATCCATTCAGCCCAATTTAGGTCTGTCAAGGGCCCAATTGCCCCCATATTAAGTTAATGGGATCACCTCCCATTCCTAACTTAATCTACATGCTAACTATGACATTTCTTAAGACATTTACTACAACTTGCTCCGGTGCGTCAATCGCTTCTTCTGACGAGCTTCCGGCGAACTTCCGGCGAACATCCGACGAACCTTCGGCGATGCTCCGGTGGACTTCCAGCAAACTCCTGGACTTGCGATGATCCATTTGGCGAGTTCCGACGAGCTTCTTTGGCAAGCTCCTGGACTTCTCGGATTTGTTCCCGCAGAACCTTCGACGATCGTCCGGACTTTCGTCGAACTCTCGAACTCCTAACGTGATCATAGTCTTGACTCCGACGCAACTCCTGCTGCATGTCTTTCTTCCATCGTAGTTAATCCTGCACACTTATCTCAACATATGGATTAGATAACAAATGACAATTGACTTC